ATAGGGAATGGCAAAGGACACACCGACAAAGGAGATTAATCAGAACTGACTTTGACAAGCACTGTGGCAATTGGACAATTAAAACAGACATTCGGATGGCAGGGAAGAAGAACAAACTGGGGAGGAGGGTAGAGAGAATGATGCAGCAATGAAGGAATGAAAACCCAAAATCCCTGTAAATGTTCATGAAAACTAATAAAATTTAATAATAAAAAAAAGAAAAAAAAAAGAAGACATAAGCTTGGTCAACATTTATACACCAAATGATGGACCTGCAAAATACATAAAACAACGTTTAACAGGTTTGAAGAGAGAAATAGACAGCATCACAATAATGGTAGGAGATTTGGAGATTTCAATACATCACTGAAGGCTAGGTCAACTAAAAAACAAAATAAAACAAAAAAAAAACCCACCAAAAACAAAACAACATCTCAACAAAGATGCAGAAGATCTTAACTATATAATCAGACAACTTGAACTTGTGGATATACTCATAGAACTACACCCAATTAAAACTCAATTCACTTTCTTTTCAAGTGCACTTGGTACATTCTTCAGAATTGATTATATATTAGGTCACAAGCAAGTCTCAACAAATTAAAAAAACACCGAAATAATACAAAGTATTTCCTCAGACCACAATGCCATAAAATTAGAAATTAACCACAGAAGAGTAAAGCTTACCAAACCACCCATGTGGAAGCTAAATAACTCTCTGCTGCAACATGATTGGGTTATAAAAAAAAAAATAATGAGATTAAAAAGTTCCTTGAACAAATGATAATGAAGATGCAACTTACCAAAACCTCTGGGACACAGCTAAGGTAGTCCTCAGAGGGCAGTTTACAGCAATAAGCACTTGGCAAGAGATCAAGAAGGAGGGCAGGGTAGTCGTGAGACCTTTGTGTAGAAGTGTTTGGTGTTTTCTAGTGTGATAATACTAATATGAATAATAGTCAATATACATTAAAAATATAGTAATATGTCTTCCAGTAAAGCCTTTATAATATTTTCAAAAACTGCTTGAAAGATTTTATACTATTTCTACATTAATCTCTGTGACTTTATAAAAAAATTACAATAGCAAGTACCTAACTTATTAAGAACCAATGCTGACTCATGTTGAAATTTCCAGAAGTACATTCACTCAACAAATATTTTGGATGTCTGTATGTATTTTCATTTCAGAGTTCGGCACTTAATTATTTGGGCTTATTAAAATATGATTAATGAGCTCTAGAAGCTCAATTCAGAGAAGTAATGACAAATAGGCTTAACTTTATGAAACTATATCTAAGGTCTTCATGAAAGGGTTGCATCATCAGTCCATTTCTGTCCTGAGCACTAAAATGGGAACAGGTTTTAAACTGTTCAAAACTAGCTTTAAAACAAACTGGGGGGTGTGGGGGGACTGGGAAGAAGCACATCAGTAGTACATTTCATATTCCTTGAGATCTATTAATTTGTTTGTTCCTGTAGATGGTGTCATGGTTCTTCCAGAATGTTTCCAGGATTTGAGTTGGTGATTCTTCAAGTGATTAAAAAAAATTATATATAAATATATACATAAATATAATTATATAAATATATACCTAAATATAAATATATATATAAATATAAACATAAATATAAATATATATATACACATAAATATAAATATATATATATACATAATGTCCAAAGAAGTCCAGGTAATAAGAAGAAAAAGTCATTCAAACAAAAGATGGTAGTCAGGTGGACTATCTCTCTGTCCACAGGGTTCTTGCAGCAATTCTCCCCCTGAAACAGTGATAACTTCCTCCTGTAAGTGAAAAAGAAAGATTAACTTACAATCAAGAAATGAGAATATCTACTGTAAAGATATTAACTTGAGATATAAAAAGGGAACATTCATATGATTTCAGCTCACTGAAATTTCCAGGTGTGATGGAAAATATCTTCTTTTTAAAAAAAAGCAATTGATGAGCTGTTGTTATGTGCTGTCGATTTGTCTACAGCTCATAGCAACTTTTTAAACAATAGTTCTGAACTCTGCCCTATCTGTGAGCCAATCTCACAGTCTCTGACACACACTCCCTCATTATCACAGTCACTATGTCAATCCATCTCATCCAGAGGCCTCCACCCTTCCAAATACGCTGTCCTTCTTCAAGGCTTGGTCCCTTTTGGCAATATGCTAAAAGTACATGAGGCAGAGCTTCAAAACCCTTGTCTCCAAGGAGCAACTTGATTTCACCCTCTCCAGGGCAAATCTGTTTGTTCTCTTGGCAGTCCATAATATGTTCAATACTCTTCTCCAACACAATTCAAAGGCAGAAATTCTTCCTCTGTCTTCCTTAGTCATTCTGAAGCTCTCGGATGCATAACAAGTAATTAAGAAGACCATGGCCTTGATGAGGCACGTCTTAGTCTCTAGACTGACATCATTGCTCTCCAGCACTCTGGAGAGGTCCCTGACAAAGATTTTCCTAATGCAATTATCTTTTGATTTCCTGACTGCTGTTGCCAAAAATGTTGATTGATTATGGATCAGAGCAAGAAGAAATTGTTAACAATCTCAATCCTTTCTCCATCTATTGGGATGCTGCCAATTGGCTCCGTGGTAAGAATCTTTGTTTTCTTGATGTTGAGCTGCAATCTATATTGAAGACTGCATTGTTGACCATCTGAAACCTCAGGTCTCCCTCAGTTTCAGCAAGCAAGTTTGTGTCATCTGCATAACACAGGTTGTTTATAAGTCTTCCTCCAATCCTGAGGCCATATTCCTCTCTAGTCTCCAAAATGATCTGTTCTGCAAATAGATTTAAAAAGTATGGAGAAAGGATTCACTCCTGATGCACCCCTCTCTTGATTTTGAACCATTCAGTGTTCCCTTGCTCTGTTCTAATGACTTCTTCCTGGTCTAAGGTTTCACATGAGCATAATCAAGTGTACTGGGATTCCCATTTTTCTCAACATTAGCCATAATTTGTTGGGATCCACATAATCAAATGACTTTGCATAGTCAAGAAAACATAAATAGGCCGTCTTCTGGTACTCTGCTTCCAGTCAAGATCCATCTGACATTGGCAGTGATTTCCCTAGTACCACTGTTGTCATTGTTATTGTTATTATTTGCCATTGAATTGCTTGTGACTCATAGTGATCCTATGTATAACAACTCTGAAACCTGTTCTACCCTGAGCCAACCTTATCATCATTGACATACCCACCCTCATTACCCCAGACACTGAATCAGTACATCTCATTGAGAGTCTTCCTCTCTTGCACTGTCCCTCCACTCTTTCAAGCATGATGTCCTTCTCCCTTCTCCAAGGGATTGTACCTCCTTGCAACATGCCCAAAGTATGTCAAACAGATCTTCAGAATCCTTGCCTCCAAGGATCAGACTGATTTAACCTGCTCTAAGATAAACTTGTTTGTTCTCCTAGGTGTCCATGCTATATTCAATATACACCACAGCTCAAAGACATCAATTCTCCTTCTGTTATCCTTAGTGGTTGTCCAGCTTTCTGATGCATAGCAAGTAATTGCAAAACCATGGTCTATATCAGGTATAGCTAGCTTGCCATCGTTGCTCTTCAGTGCTCTGGAGAGGTCCCTGACAGCTGGTTTTTCCAATGCAATTCGTGTCTTGGTTTCCTGGATGCTGGTACCAAAAGTTGATTGTGGAGCCAAGAAAACTGAAGCTGTTAACAATCTCAATCTCTTCACCATCTATCATGATGCTGCCAGTTGGCACAGTGGTGAGAATCTGTTTCTTGATGTTGAGCTTCAATCCATGTTTCAATTCATGTTGACTTTCTACAGCAAGGACTTCTGATCCTCCTCAGTTTCAGCAAGGAAGGTTGTGTCATCTGCATATCTCAGGTTGTTAATGAGTCTTCCTCCAATCCTGATGTCATAATCCTCCTCATAGAGGCCAGCCTCCTGGATGATCTGTTCCACAAATAGCTTGAAAAGGTATGGAGATAGGACATATCCCTGGAACACACTCTTCCTGATTTTGAACCATACAATGTTTCCTTGCTCTGTTCCGATGACTGCTTTCTGGTGTAAGTATAGGTTTATAATAAGCACAATCAAGTGTTCTGGGAATCCCATTTTTCTCTAAGTAAACCCAGCTTGTATTTCTAGCAGTTCTCTATTGATGTCCTGTTCCCAGTCATATTAGGATAATATTTAGCAGGATTTTGCTTGCATGGGATACTAGTGATAATGTTCAATAATTTCCACAGTCTGTTGGACCCCCTTTTTTTGGGAATGGAAATAATTATGGATCTCTTCCAGTCAGTTGGCCAGGTTGTTGTAGATTTTTTGCTACAACCTGGTGAGCACAACCTGGTAACCTGCATCTGTTTGTTGAAATATGTCAATTGGTATGCAGTCAATTCTTAGAACTGATTTTTTTGGCAATTCTTTCAGAGCATCTTGAACTTCCTCCTTCTTCAACATCGCCTTTTGATAATATATTGTTACATGAAAGTACTTGGAAATAAAGAAGAAGGCTATGAACAAACCAAAACTTTTTGTTTTTATACTCAATGAACTTATTAAAAGAAATAGTATAGGACAAGAGATAGTGAGATAGACTCAAGGCTCAGGTGCAGAGGAGTTTACCTCAGGCCAACCAAGACAAAGAGGTCAAATGTTCATTCAGCACTTTCCCTCCCATATCTAAAGATTGGCTGTGCAGTACAAACTCCAACCTCTGCCTGAAGAGGTTTTTTTACTAGTAGAGCCAGATAACATGAGGCAAAGCTCCTGGCCTTAACTGTTCCAATCCATTGCAACTTAGACAAATTACTTAGACTCTCTGGCCTTGGTTTCCTGATTTGTGAAATGGGACAAAAATGCCTCCATGTAATACCATTATGAAGAGCACATGAGATCATGGATTAAATGAGCAATTGGCCCAGTGTTTGACACAGAGAAAGTGTTCCTCCATTTCTCTTTATTCTAGCTGTCTCTTCCAGATGCTCTTCTCAAAACAAGTCTCCCTTGTTCCTGGCTGGTCAAGTCTTCTAGCAGTATTCTAACCCACTTTCTACATAAATAGGTCATTTTTTTATGTGCTTTGATTAGACGGTTAAGTGTTCCCTAGAACCCTAGGGACATTGCTATAAAGAAAATGCTACAAATCTAACAGCCTCTATTATAGTAGAAGTTCAATGAAAGAGTTAAGTAAATTACTTCACAAACCTCTATACTATGCTAGAAAAGGTGGAAGGTCAGTGAAAGAAATAGATCCTCAAGAAGAAGAATTGACACAGTGACTGTAACAATGAGGTTGAATATATTAGAGATGGTGAGGATGGCACAGGATAGGGGAAGATTCAGCTCTGTTGTTCACAGGGATCACTGTGAGTTGCAGTCGTCTTGATGACACCTAGCAACAACAAGCTACTGTCATTCTGCCTCTTGGAATCTCTGGTGTTTTGACCTTCTGGCTCACTGAGTTCTATATTTGTCTTTCTCCAAGTTATGACTGATGTCAACAGTCACATTAGCACAAAACTTATGTCTTGTAACTTGTAAAAAATATGTAACAAACTTGTAGTAGTAATGCTTAGGAGACTATCTTTTTCTAATTATACAGCCACCAATGGAAAAACAAAGGAGAAAAAACTGAGCTCAACATGTTACAATTACTCAGCGCTATTATCATCTGGGTATTATTTACAGCCAGTGGCCCAGAGAGAAAACTAAAGCTCAAGAGACTAAGTAATCCACCAACAGATTTACAAATACTGAGTGGTAAGGCTGGATTCTCAATAGGAAAACAAGAGAAGTAGTAGTAACCTCACCACTGGAAAATCTTCTCTAGCCATGGGACAGACTTCAACTGACTCTGTGAAGATACCAAGGTAGGTTTTTTTGTTTGTTTTTTAATTTTTTCTTTTTTTTTTTTTTTACCAAGGTAGTTTTAATGTCAGGAAAAAACATTCCAGGGAATGAGTTTTTGGTAGGATGTGCGCTTGGGCAAAGGACAAATCAGCTGACCTCAAAGTGTATCTGCTGGCCTCTTAAGTGTCTAGGTTAGTCTGCCTAGCTAGAGATAGTGTCTTTGCCAGTCCAGAGGATGGATGTAAGCATAATACCCAGTCAGAAATGGCTAACATAAAGAAATAATCACTGCCAACCTGAAATGTCCAAACTCAAAGTGTTAATGGTAAGGAGCACTTGTGGAGTCAGAGAGAGACAAAGCCTGTGGGTCAGTATTAGGATGCCCACAGGAAGCACAGAGTGAGCAAGAGAGAAGTACAGTTAACCCCAGAAACTGGTGTAGATAACTCTTATTCTCTGTCTTTCTAAGGTTCCCTGTCTCTATAACTCACAGGGCCCTCCTGGGGCTACCTGTTCCATCTCTATCCCGATCCATAGAAACCTCTAGCCTCATTGATTGGCAATCTCTTCATCTCAAGTTCCCTACAGCTTTATTTCCCAGACTAGAACCCCCAGAAGGAATACCTTGTGAAAATCAATGAGATCTGTGAGTGTGGCATGACGATTGGGGTCCAATCCCAGGAAGCTATAAAAGTCCCCAGAAGCATCCACGAGAAAGTGCTTGAACCCTTTCTGAAGGCGGTAGGAGAGGGTATAACCCCAGATTTTATCACTGACCCGGACCAGAAATGCTCCCTCTGTCATGCTTTCAAGCAGATCTTCTGAATCTTCTCTGGAAATAATACCTGGTATGTATATAGAGATTAAGAAAAAAAGAAAGAAAAAGTCAAGCAAATCCTACAGCCCCTTCAGTATGCTTACATCCAGTGGTCTACAGCGCTAAGATAGCCATAAAGAGTACAGCCAGGTCCAGAGTAGACAGTTTGGGACCTAACGGTAGAGTTTCCATTAAGTTTTCTTCCAAATTACAGTTAGATGTTTTCTAGTTGGCTCCAATTCACAGAGACACTATAAACAACAGAACCAAATCCTTCCTCATCTGGAAGCACACTCACAATCTCTAATGTTAAGTCCATTTTTTTTAGCCATTGGGATCAATATACTTAGCTAAGAGACTTTCTTTTTGTAATGATCCTTCACTTCGTCAAACAAGGTATCTTTCTACAGGGACTGGCTCTTCCTGATGTGTGTATGTGTGTACACACACATGTATATGCATTTATATAAATACATAAATGGAAGTCTCACCATCCTCAATTCTAAGGCGCTTTGTGGCTACACTTCTTCAAAAACAGATTTGCTTAATCTTTCAAATTAAGTGACACTAACATAGAGAGCTCTAAAGGCACAGTCCATAAGGAGTTGTGCTGCTAACTCAAAGGTGGCAACTCTCTGGCAGTTCGAATCCACCGTGGTTCTTCAGAAGGAAGATGGATAATCTCTTCTCATACAATTTATAATCTCCAAAAGTGCAGAGAGTCAGCTACAAGTCTGTTCCAACTTGATAGCAATGAGTAGAATTACATGGGCTGTTAGCAAAAAGGTGAGTAGTTCTAATTCACTAGCTGCTCTGCAGGAGAAAGATAGATAGTCTTCTCCCTAAAGACTTAAAACATCAGAAACTCAATGGTGAGTCACTATAAGTCAGAAATTAACTCAGTACCATTGGTTTTGGTAAACATCTCAATTTACTTTTCTATATTATTCATATCTTCATACATGTTTAAAGCAGAAAGAGTCACAGTCATCAATATCATCCAAACCTAAACAAATATCTTCTAAGATTACCTTACTGAGTTTGAAAGTTTAGACCCATAATCTCATGGGATGCCTCAGTCAATAAGTATAATAATCTGTAAAGTTTGCATGCCAATGGCCATTACCAGAAAGGTTATCAGGAAGTGTCATCCTCTATGTGTGGTATATTGGGTTATGGCAAGTGCTAGGAGGGAGGAGAGAATGAAAGAATCAGAAAATCAAAGACACCCGAAAGTATTCTTACTTAGTTTCAGTCACATTCAAATTTTCCAGTGTTCTTTTGACAATAAAATTATAATCTTAACCCATCTACATCACATTGTTGTTGTTGTTAAGTGCCATCAAGTTGTAGGTGACTCAAAGTGATCCTATAAATGAAAGACCTGAACTCTTGTATAACTTTCATCCTTTCTCCAGGTTCATAGGGTTTCCAGAGGCAAAGGATTTCAGAAGCGGATGCCACTCTTGTTTCCAAGCTTGTTTTAATTGGAGAGCTCCATGAAACACTGTCCACCATAGGTAACTATTATCGCATCTGAGACATCAGTATCACAGTGTTCAGCTTCACAGCAACCACTAGTTACCTCTGCACAGCAAATGGACAGACCAGGGCTATACGGCCTAGAAAAATGTTTGGCCAAAAACAATTAAAAACAGGCCTGAGGACCACAGATTAAAGTCACTCATCTTTGGCTTGATAGCATCACTTTCTGACCACTAGGCCAACTGATCTCTATGTTGCTGGTGTTATTGATGTTGTTAAGTGCCGGTGAGTCATAGGCAATCCATAACAACCCTATGAATGAAAGACCTGAACCCTTGTATAACTTTCATCCTTTCTCCAGGTTCACAGGGTTTCCAGAGGTAAGCTATTTCAGAAGTGGATGCCACTCTTGCTTCCAAGCTTGTTTTATTTGGAGAGCTCCACCAAACACTGTCCATATGACTACTTTTTTAGATAAAGAATTTAAAATCACTTTATGAATTGGAAATAGTTGTGAAACTGTGTTGACTATTATTCCCAGTTATATTGGAGAGAGATAAATTGTAATGCATGGTCCCTTCTTACACACTTTCATTTACCCTATATATTCATTCATTCATGCTGTAACCATCCCTTAAGTAAGTTCACAGAGAAGAACATGAGCTACACTGGCAGTTGCATTATCAGAGTGATTTGTCTTCACTAGGCATTAATAAAGGAGCTCCTTCTTGTTGTTGTTGTTGTTGTTATGTGCCGTCACGTCGTTTGCAACTCATAGCTACCCTATATACAACAGCCCTAAATTCTGCTCTGTCCTTTGCCATTTGCACTGTCTCTGACACTCCCATCCCGATTACCCCAGTCACTGAATCAATCCACCTCATAGAGGGCCTTCCTCTCCTGTGCTGTCCCTCCACCCTCCCAAACACGATGTCCTTCTGCAAGGACCGGTTTCTCCTTACATGTCCAAAGTATGTTAGATGGAGCCTCAGAATCCTTGTTTCCAAGGAGCCACCTGGGTTAACTCTTTCCAGGATGAATCTGTTTGTTTTCCTAGCCGTTCATAGTACCCTCAATACTCTTCTCCAGCACCACAGCTCAAAGGCGTCAATTCTCCTTCTATCATCCCTAGTCACTGTCCAACTCTCTGATACATAACAAGTGATTGCAAAGACCATGGCCTGTATCAGATGCACCTTAGTCTCCAGAGAGACAACATTGCTTTTCAGTACCCTGGAGAGGTCCCTAACAGCAGACTTTCCCATGACAATATGTCTTTTAATTTTCTGGCTACTGGTGCCAAGAGTGTTGACTGTGGAGCAAAGCAGACTAAGGCTGTGAACAATCTCAATCTCTTCACCATCCAACCTGATGATGCTAATTGGCCCGGTGGTGAGAAGCTTTGTCTTCTTGACATTGAGCCTCAATCCATATTGGAGGCTGCAGTCCTTGACCCTCTGCAGCAAGTGCTTCAGGTCCTCCTCAGTTTCAGTAAGCAGGGTTGTGTTATCTGCATAACGCAATCTTGACCCCACATTTCTCCTCATAGAGCCCAGCCTCCTGGATAATCTGCTCTGTATACAGGCTGAAAAAATATGGAGATAGGACACATCCCTGGTTTACGCCCTTTCCAATTTTGAATCATGCAGTGTTCCCTTGCTCTGTTCTGATGACTGCCTCTTGGTCCAAGTATAGGTTTCTCATTAGTACAATCAAGTGTTCTGGGATTCCCATTCTTCTCAGAGTCAGCCATAGTTTGTTATGATCCACACAGTCAAATGCCTTTGCATAGTCAATGAAACACAGATTAATGAAAATAATAAAAAATATTGCAACCATTTTCCACTGTGAAACTAGCTTTCCTTATCAACAGCGTTCATTTTAAAGACAAAGCATGTGCAAGGATTTGGTATTTTTATTTCAAATACTATGTCGCATGAGTCATCTACAACTTGACCACACCTAACAACAACAACAACAACGAGAGAGCTCTGTTGTCCTGTTGGTTAGAAAGTTATGCTAACAAGCCAAAGATGGATGATTTTAATCTGTGGCCCTCAGGCTTAGTTTTAATTGTTTTCAGTCAAACATTCTTCTAAGTGGTATAGCATTGGTCTGTCCATTTGCTGTACGGAGATAACTATAAGGTAAATACTGTGACACTGATGTGTCAAATGCAATAATGGTGGACAGTGTTTAGTGGAGATCCCCTATTAAAACAAGCTTGGAAGCAGGTGTGGCATCTGCTTCTGAAATAGCTTACCTCTGGAAACTCTATGAACATGGAGAAATGATGAAAGTTATACAAGCGTTCAGGTCTTTTGTTCATAGGGTCGCTATGAGTTACATTGTTGTTGTCGCCTGACAACAACAACATTCATTAAGGAAACTCTATTTGCCTCACGGTAAGGAGATTTACTTCCAATCCAAAGACACTGGTTTGAATCCACCTGATGCTCCTCAGGAGAAGGATGGACAATCTCCTACTGCACTATTTACTGCCACTGAAAACTTACTGGAGGGTCAGCTGAGTCAGTTCTGATTTGACAGTATATAATAACAAAATTATTTCTGTCTCTATCTCTCTCTATAAACACACACACACTCACACATATACAGAGAGGGAGAGGTGGAGATAAGGCATGGCAGACATGGTATGTACTCTAGGAACCATTTGAGCAGTTTCTAATGTTATTGCCATTTTATTTGTTAACAGCTTAAAATTAATTGCCAAATGTATTATTTTATGTAGCAATGTTATTTTGCATTTCTGCATATATCCAGTATTTACCCAGTGTATATATTACTAAAGTTATTTATTATCACTTATATAACCCAAAGGTAGAGAGTAGCTGAACTACTCAATTCAATGACCCTGATACTACAGACCTTTGACTTCACTGCTGCCTGAGTCCCTAAGATCACACACCAGACTCCACCCATCTTTCTTCCACCTAACAAGACATAAGGCAAGACTTTCCTGCTCCCAAAACAGAGCACACAGAGTCAATCACTGTCTAATACCTACCTTTTAAATATAGAAATAAGGAACCAAAATATAAAAACCGGACTTGGGAACTTCCATTTTTTCTTGCCTCAGAACTTATCAAGATGTAAACAGATCTGTCACTCCTTCTCTTATGAGGTGCAATAAGTAATAAACAGGAGAAGAGAAAGTGGAATCCTCCTACCAGGACTTCTGAGGATATAACATAGGCATTCAGGGAAGAAAGATGATACACATCATGGCAGACAGAAGATAACTGGCAGACATGCCTGATATCCATGGGAAGACTCTCAGCACTGACTCAACACCACATCCCAGACCAGCATCAGAGGTCAAAAGGCTAGCGAAGGAAGATATGGGAGAAAGAAGTAGCGAAGAGGGGTAGGAGGAAGAGGGAACAGAAATGTTAGCTCTGTTCTCATTCCAAGCCCGTCAAGATGGAGTTAATTGGTGCACTTATGTTCATAGCAATATTATTCACAATAGCAAGAAAATATAAGCAGAAAGAAAATGGAACGATACTGTGAAACACAATC